TAGGACATATTGCTTCACCACTGAGTTGCAGAAGTGGCAGAGGGCCAGATGTATGGCTCTGAGCTCTAACCGGTTTATGTGGTGTCTGAGATCCTCTTTGGATCATTGGCCTTGTTCCAGTTGTGATTGCAGGTGTGCTCCCCAGCCAAATAGGCTGGCATCCGTGGTCAGAGTGACTCAGGTGGGTTCCTTGAACATGTGTCCTTTCCCCACCACTGGAGATGACCACCATTGGAGTGACTTAGGACTCTTGGTGGCACCTTTACCCTCTGGTTGGAGGAGCTGGTTCCTATTTTCTGAAACGGGAGCAGGAACCATTGCAGGTTTCTGGAGTGTAGTCATGCCCAGGGTACGATTGCTAGGCATGAGATCATCTTTCCCAGCAGTTGGGAGAGTATGACCAGTGTGGTGGCTCATTTCCATCGAATCTGACTGACCAGGACTCGAATGCTATCTTGATGCTCTCGAGAGAGGTAAACCTTGCACTTTTGTGTGTCTATCACAGCTCCCAGATGAAGGAGGTGGGTTGACGGAACCGTTTGACTCTTTTGGAAATTGACTGAGAACCCATGTTCCTGAAGGGTTCTTAGGGTCAGCGTCAGATCTGACTGTGCCACTTGAATGGATGAGGATTGAATTAGAATGACGTCCAGGTAACACTGGATGTGTACGGGGATGGTTCGTAAATGCACGGCGAGTGCCAGTACCTTCGTGAATACTCTGGGGGCTGAAGAAAGTCCAAAGGGCAGGGCCTTGTATTGAAAATGTTGACCTACATGACAGAACCTGAGAAAGTTCCGGTGCTTGGGAAGTATGGAAATGTGAAGGTATGCCTCCATCAGATCTATAGAAGTTAGGAAGTCTCCCCTTCTGATGCCTGCTAATATAGACTGGAGAGTCTGCATTTTGAACTTTCTGTATGCCAAATGATTGTTCAGACTTTTTAGGTCTAGAATTGCTCTCCATCCCCCCGAACTTTTTGGGACTAGAAATAAGAGGGTGTAGAATCTCTGTCCCTGTTGTCCTCTCTGCCCTGGTTCTATAGCCTGGATATCCATGAGGTGCCGGAAGGCCCCATGATCAGGCTCCATTTGACTGAAACCTTGGGTGATGGGCAAGGGACAAAGTGGTTTGGGGGCTTGGCGACGAATTCCAGTGATAGGCCGAATCTGATAGTATTTAGGACCCATAGTTCTGTGGTGGTGGCCTGCCATCTGTGTGCGAATAGGGCCAGCCTGCCACCAATGGGGGAGCCCTCCCCGTCACTTGAATTTGTGAAAGGGGCGGCCCCCGCTCTTTGAAAGGGCCACTTCGACTGAAATTGTTGTCTAAGTCTGTCCCTGTTACTGGTTCTGCCAAATTGTCGATCAGATCTGGGTTGATAGGAACAGGAAAATGGAGGCTCTGGGCTGCTTCTGCTCGGAAGGATTGTCTGTCCTCTTTGAGAGGTGGCCCAGGACCTTGCGTTGTCCTTGTTCTCTATCAGATAAGGGTCGAGGGCCTCTCCAAAGAGTAGGCCACCCTTGTAGGGCACAGCCGCCAACAGTCACTTTGCCTTGATGTCAGCTCACCATTGTCTGAGCCACAGTAATCTGCGTGCTGCAGTGTTTGATGCCATCGCCCTGGCAAAGTAGATTGCGGCTTGTAGTGATGAATCTGCCATGAATTCCACTGCAGTCACTAACCTCCTTAGGTCATGATGTGTTCTCTCCTCCTCTGGGGGAATCCTGGCCTGGAGTTGGCGCAGCCAGAACAATGAGGTCCTAGCGAAAAAGGAGTTAGATATGGCTCCCTTGATTGCCCACGCTGAGGCCTGGTGTGTTCTGCGGAAGGTGAGTTCCGTTTTCCTGTCCTCTGACTTCAGGGCCTCCGCCACATCCCCAGAAACCGTGGATGGCGAGAATAGAGCCACTAGTGGCTCATCTACTGTCGGGACCTCTATTACCTCCGATAATGCCAGGTCTATGTTGAACAGTTTCTTATCTGTCCCCCCCCCATTGGGGGAAAGGAACCCGGTGCCCCCAATTTTTTGGGGATTGTATCAAAGAAGAGAGGAGGGCAAGGGATATATTGTTGTGTGTCGGTGGATTGTGAAAACACCCTGCTGTTTGTGTCCTGGTATGCTGAGGGTCCCTCCTGGGGAAGTCTTGGCCTCTTGACCTTTGCGGTACTACTTGCCTTGTGGAGCAGGGATTTGAATAAAGTGGACTAAAGAGGCCTATGAATGGTGGAGGGTCGGGGGATATATCGTCATCCTCTGACAGTGGCTGGTTCGTTTGTTTATAGTCCCCCGTGGGGGACCTTCTGCTTCTGGAAGAACGAGATGGTGAAATCAATTCCTGGTAGTCCGTGGCCTCCTCTTGGGAGAGGTAGGACCGACCCCTTGAAATGATAGACCTGGCTCTGTGCCTATGATGCCTTGAAGAAGCAATGCCCTGAGCGATGGCCTGAGATATCAGGGATTGTAAATGCTCTGATGATAGGGCTCCCTGATTGTCTGAGGAATGAGACCTTGCTGCTGAGTGTGCATCAGGAACCCCCAGGCTCTCAGGCCCATCGCTTAAGGGGGATCTCTCTGCCTGATCTGCGTCAGCCTCTGTTTCCAGAAGTTTCTGACTGGGCTATAGTGGGCCAAATATTTTGTCCTCTGTGTAAGCAGATGGGACAAGTCCATCTCCTGCTGTGTTTTGTCTCTTCTTGGCTCTAGAAAATTGTTTTTCCAGGGCCTGGTGCCAACGTTTGGCCTCCTTATCAGCTGTCTTGGAGGATCTTTTGCCAGATATTGCCTTGGCCTTGATCCTGCCAGCTGCTTCCTAGTTAGATGATCTTGGCCTCTTGCATCCCGGAGGACTGACAGAGGAATCATGTGCTGTCTGGGCAGCAATGGTGTCTGCCATTGGCACCAGAGATATCTCAGCGCTGAGACTGAGAGGAATCTCATGGTAAAAGGACTGGCAACAGGTCTAGCACTCTGTGACAAGCCGGCTTGTCACAGAGTGACCTGGCAAGGACTGGAAATAGTCCAGGTGATGTCCAAATTAATGGTATAGTCCAAGGTAGAGAGGTCAGTTAGTGGTATAGTCACGCCCTGTGCTCCACTTGATCCAATCACTGTTGTGCTGTAGGTAGCGGTGAGATCAAATTAATGATACGACCTGCACCTGAATTTTGGGCAAACATGTGACTCCACCTCTTCTCTGTCTCTCCTTTTTTTATGATAAATGAGTCTCGTTGGATAGACGGCTCAGTGGGAACAGTAAATATTATTAATCTGTTCTAGGAAGGACTGCAATGGGGGTGGCTGAAGCTGCGTGGGGTCGGAGCGGTAGGCGAAGGCATGGTGGGGGGGAGGGGACCTGGCTTCGGGTCGCTTTCTCTCCACCGCCTGTCAAGGCCAGAGAGGGGAACGTGGTTCGCACTGTTTCCCTTCCTTTCTCCCCCCCCTTCCCGGTTTGCAGCTTCTCCAACTTCCCCTGGTTAAAATTAAAAAAAAAGAGGAATAATTGTCTAAGAGCCGTCTGAATCACTCTGGTGTGAGCTGATTAGCCGGTAGCACTGAGTTTCGCAGCCCGAAAAATGGCTGCTGCAAGCTTGCTCCAGCAAACGCTGCCGCTTGGACCTGTCTCCAGCAGCTGGCCTGAATAAGGTTGAAATCAGGGGAAAAAACAGCTGCTTCGCGAATAGTGTTAAGCGGGCTTACTTTCAACCAGGAAGAGGAGATTACTCCCTTCGCTTGAGAGACCATGTGGAGCCAAAATGGCAATTGGCTCTTTGTTGTCTCTCTGACAATCAGCTGAGGCTAGCCGACAAACAACTGAGTATTTGGTTTCTCTGCAATCGGCTGGGACGACAAACGGTCGTTCATTTTGTACCCCCCCTTTCTTGGGAAAAAAAGGGCAAGAAATTGTAAAATACATCCTGATCTTGGAGCCAAGCTGAGTGTGTCCTCTTGGGCTAAAGACTAAGTCGAGACTGGGGGAGGTCCCAGGAAGAGGGGTGTGGCAATTTGGCTGACTTAGTCTGTACGGGTAGAAGACAAGCAAAACCCATTGGTGGATTCTCCACTCGTCATGCTGGAGAAATCAGAGATCAAGCCAGGGGTCCTCCTTACCCCTCTCATCCCACCATCAAATCACTAACAACCTTCCATCATCAACTACCTTAAGGAAAAATCATAACTCACTTTGTGAACTACTTTCTAAAGTTACAGTATGTTTAATAAATAAGCTAGAAATTTGTTTGGGCAGAAGTTAAACATAAAAAACTTCTGTAAAGAATGTGCATATAGGGTTGTATTTACTTAAATGTCTATCTATCTTTGGATTAAGACCTGAATTTAGAAACTCTGAATAAAGAGGTCAAAACATCCTTGTTGACAAAAACAACATTCTAATAAAAAAGTTATAATTTATTCATTTATTGATTCCTTCCACATTTTAGAAGAGTAAGAGAACCAGAGTGGAGCTGTGTAACCTACCCATGTTACTACTGAAGCAAGAAAACCAATAACCCCATATCACAAATATGTAACACATGAATAAATGATTTAGTTATACCCTAAGAAATTTATCTTGCATATCTGTCCCCTAAAAATTTCTAGATGAGAACTAAACTTTTCTAAAATAAATTAATTTTTTTAAAAATGATTTTTTTAAGTTGGGTCCATAAAGAATCATGGAGCAAGCTCTGATATTTAATTATAGTTATTGATCATCACATATGCCAAGGGCATTTCAGCCTTTTCTTCCACTCTGAATCTAAAATGTATTTTACTATACTCTGAAGTTCTTTAAAATATCTTAAAATGCTTGCCCTTTGCCACTGTTGTACTTTCTTTTGATAGTATATACTGCATATGTTGCTTCTTCAAAACAGATAAGATCACATTATTTTCTTCTGTTGCATATTCTGTTATGAAATATTGTGAACATATTGTCAAAAAACAGTAATATATACATAAATACAGTACATTGTCTATTGAAAAATAATGATTTATTTACCACATAAAGCTGTTTCCACATTGTCCCCCAGTCTCTTAAGGTGGATGTCATCTCTGTGATAACAGAATCTTCTGCTGGAATAATAATTTCAAACTGCCTATTAAAATCAGAAGAAAAAATGTCAAACAAAAATCCAAAGTAACATTACTTTTGTTCAATTTAAAAGAAGTTGCTTTGGTAATTGACTGTGGAATTTCTGGAATTTCTTGCAATTAGCCAATTAACAGAATCATCAACAAATATTTAGAGTGCCTTGAAGAGACTACTGCATGATAACTGAGGAGCAAGTACTCACTACATTCAGTACATCAATAGCATACAGCCATTTGGGGCCCAGAGCCTTACAAATGGAATGCTCAAAAAAGTAATGGGATCAGGTTAAAAAAAATAACATTTGACAATTAAAGTATAATGATGTAATTTCATTAAATACATATATTTCCATATGCTTAATTATTTTTCACATTAAATATGATATTGCCTCTCCATTAGGAATGCTATAAGATATCAAAGCCTTTTCCTTATCTTTTGCTAAAATTCTGGGCTTTCGAATTTCCACTTACCCTTTGTTCTTAACACATGCATTTTTCAAGTGAACAAAACCGGATGGGAAGATACCCTGAAAAAAAAGAAGTTAAATAAATGTAATAAACCATCAAGAGTGCTTTGAACATGTATTTTTTAAAAAGTCAATAATTTCTAGACAGCAAACATTGTGTATTTTTATATATTCAGATAGTCCATGATATATGAAATGTACCTAGATAAACTTCTTGAAAGCAATTATACATTTGCTTTTGGTTGTTGTTGTAAGGAAGGAACAAATGATGTCTGAGAATGTGATCAGTAAAAATTTCAAGCTTAACGTTGAAGCAATAGCAACTCTTAAGTACCCCAGAACAGAAGTTCTCATTTGCAGCTTGAGCACTGCTCATAAAGCTGAAAAAAAAAATCTAGAATCTTTTTTGGTTCTGAAAGCCTTTTCTCACAGCTATTTGTAATCTGCTATCCCAAATACCTTGCAACTATTTACTGCAATAAGTTACTTTTTCTCAGACTTAACACTTTCCTCCCTTTCCCCCTTGCTCCCTAGAGATAACATCTGCAATAGCTGATGCCACTTCCCCTCACTCAATATTGAATTGTATTATACTATTATTGTATGGGTGGAGTTACAGCTAGATAAAAAGATTGCTTAAATTCCACTCCCTATCCTTTAGTGGGTTTGTCTCCTCAGATGTGAGATTTGATTATAATCTTATTTCACCCATTTTTTAAAAAAAAATTAAAAGTGAGTGGGAACCTTTTAGTGATACCTAGAGTTCCATGCATCCATTTGAGGGCATATCACCAACCCCACTTTAACTTAAGAGTAAATAACAGATGAGACTGGAACCCACAACTTTATAAAATCAGGCTTCCAAGCAAGGGAGTGATGGAGGTGTAGTGACCTCACCAATAGTAAAAAGGATGAAATTTTCTACTTTGAGTGAGTAATAGGTTATTTAAACTATGTACTTTAAGATTTAATGACTTAGCCTTATTTGAGCTTTATTTTGAAAAGCAGGGACATTAAAAATTGCACTACAGAATTAAGCATTCATGGCTAAAATCCAAAAGGAGCCGGGGGAGGGTGTTCTAGGTATTGCACCAATAGTTTGGGAGACATTTGCAGAATTAGGTTTTTTTTAGTGTATTTAAGCATAATCTATAGCGATCTATAGCTTCCCTTTAGGTGTTGTCAAATAATTATCCAAGACTTAAACATTATTACCACTTGGCATACATTTTGCATGACTGCTCAATAAACTATGTACTTTTACTTTTATATGAATACCTCAACAAGTTTTCATACACATTTTAATTTAAAACAAAAATTAATTTACCTTGAGATTTGGGTTTTTTAAGGCAAATCCTCTGTACCAGCCTGAAAAGAAATATTTTATATTTCATTTTACTTTATTTATAGGGTGCCTGACTTCCAAATGTCTCTGGGCAGTTTCCAACTAAAAACCAATGTATTAAAAGAAAAGTACAACAGAAATACAACTGTAAGATTCTATACTTCAACTTCCACATATATTTAATATGGAAATTTTACCTCTATGTATCTTCCCCAAATAACAAAAATAGGCAGGGGTATTCATAGGACACTACTATTGTATTATCAGTTACAAGCAGGTAAGTTTCATGCCATTCAATAGCATTTCTATGTAAAGAACCATGCAGGTTTAAGAAATGACACAGTTGCTTTAATAGTTTGAAAACTCTTTTAAGCCCTACAGTTTGATCTTTTTAATTCCATGTTTTATAATTATAGAAAGAAAATATACTCAGATTTAGTGACTAGGACTAAGGAAATCCAGATTTAAAAACTGTCCTAATTAATCTTGGGGTAATCATTTACACATGATTACACACTTGTATCTCTGCTTCAGAAGCTGCTCCTAGCTGTCTTTGCATGCATGTGACAAAGACTTAGCAAAATCCTATAAAAGAACTCTAGAGTATTGTGGTATTTCTATAGACCTCTATTTTCTATCCCTTATCTCATTGCATCATATAAATATATGTACCTTCATACAGTAACACTCAATGTAACACAATCTTATAAACGTAATTCAAAATACATAAACTAATCTTTTGGAGGAAAAAACAGTTAATTATAAAAAACTACTGTATACTCCAATCAGATCTTAATCTATAATTATTGCTAGAATAAAAATATGTTACCATATACAGAATAATTATTTCCCTGCAATTAGAGATATCTTTTTATAGCAACAAACTGGATAGATTATTTTGAGACATTTCAAACTGGATAAATTTTACTCTTATTCAAGCATCTATGATTTCAATAACCTTTTGTTCATAGAAAATTAAATTTGGCTATTATTAAATAGGCTTTCAACTTTAGCAAACATTTGTATTTGCTTTAGCATAATTAGGTGAGTTGATTTTGAAGTCTCTTGTCAAGTGACAGTTGCTTGCTTTTTCAACACTTACCATCACATTTTTCTAGTATTTGAACAGTGTCTCCAATCTCCAATGATAAGCCATGAGGGATTATTCCTCGAAAACTTGCAATTACTGGAAAAGATATTAAATTCTATTGAACCATATTTTTAAGAAAAGAAAAACCACATTTAATATTTAACAGTGTGCTATTGTAAGCAAAAGCAATCAGTTAATAAAATCTTCCCACCTCAATTTGCAATGCTTCAAATCCCTGGATTTATAGATACAGTAACAGCCTCCTTTTAAAATCCTTTTTTATATTAAAAAAGGATAATTTGTTTAATATGATTCCAAGAAAAATCATATCAGATTGAGGAGTCCAGTTCACAACAAAATACTGGAGGGAGTTCCTGAAGCTGATCGGATTCAGCCAGCAGCTCAACTTGGCTTTTCATCCAAATACAAATGGAGCTGCTAAACAAGCTAACACAATGGTGGAACAATACTTGAGATGCTATGTTAACTATCAGTAAAGTAACTGGGCAGATCTCCTGCCTTTTGCTGAAGTGGCATGCAACAATACTGCACACAGCAGTCCTAAACGTACTCCTTTTAAAGTAGCTACAGGCAGGGAGTTCATTCCCATGCCTGAATACCCTGAAGAACCCCCCCTCCTCACAGAGTGCTTGGGCAAATGTCAAATGTGCCTTAGCAAAAGCCACAAAGATTCAAGAGGAGCAAGCAGATAAGAAGCAATCCCCGGCTTCCAGTTCCGGGTTAGCAGTGCTGCGATCGTGCAGAGAGACTTGTCTCTTTGCCGGCCAAGTTTCCCCCACCAGTAGACCCTTAATTGGGTCAAAAGTCGACCTGAAGGGGTGACCACCATTGAGGCGGCTGCCTGTTTGACTGAAGAGGGGCGGCGGCATCCTCTGTTGTCCAAGCTCCTTTGGGCCAATGGAGTAAAGATTGATCAGTAAAATGGCAGATCACTTAACTGCACCAGCTGTAAGCCACAAGAACATCTAAGCAAAATAGAATCACCGTGGAAGATTCGGTGAGACCTTTCCTTGCCTCTCTCTTTCCTATTTACTCCTGTGAAAAGCTTTTGGAATCATTTCCCTATCTTTTAAAAGCGTCTTTGTTGATGGGGAAAGAAAAGCTTTGGAACAAAAGAAAAATTAATTTTAACTTTTTCAATGGTTGATTTTATTTTTGAATATTTGGGAGTCCTAAAATCCTTGTTATAGAAACTTAATATGTTAGCAATTTGGAGATTTTTTTTAATTTTCTACTATTTTATATAACTAAAGAAAAGATGGAAAAAAGGAAAAGAGGAAAGAAATTATTTTTATTGTGGGTCTGGAAATACTGAACTGGTTAACCCTCTGGGGACATCTTGTGGTGACATTATTTACCGCAATTGTTATTCCCTTTCTTTGGACTCTGAGTCTGACTTTGACCTTCAAATTATTTCAAAAGGGAAAGATAAAGAAGCTGTATAGCTGGGTGGAAGCGGATACTGACTGATTGTTATTAAATACAGCCTCCACCAAAAGAATAGTGGCTTTATATACTACTGAAATGGAGGAATTCTGTCCAGATTTCAATTACAAGTATATATTGGACAAAATTCTTGAAAATACTGAATAATTGCCTATACAAAAGAGATTATTTTTCAACAACAAATCAAAGCACAAGGTGTAAGTGAGCACTTTGTAAGCCAAGAAACAGCAGAAGAGGTATATACTCAAGAGACTCGTTTTCAACCTTATCCACAATTTACTGAGATGGAGGAATTAAACTTACATCAGGACTACCAACCTACACTGGAAAAAAATTCTGATGCTAATGAACAAATGACTTTTAGCACAGAAACTAAGGATGTTACCCCAGAAGTGCAGGCTGATCTCCAGACTCCAACTGATTACCTGACAGATAAAAAACCAATAGGGGGAAAGCAAAATAATATTAAAGAAGACTCTACATTATTTTATAGACAATCTATTGAGACTCTGGATGATTCAAAAATGACTGTAATTAAGCTAGACACAACTTCAAAAAAGATGAAGACGGATCTTCAACCACAAGCTATTGAGAATCACTACAACTTTTTCACTAGTCTATTAAAATGGACAATGGGAGATTCTCGCCTGATTTATGTGTTACGGCAAGAAATGGAGGGAGTTTTATTTGTGGACTTAGAGGCCTTACTATGGTAACCCATTTGGAACAGAAAGAAAGCTAGAATAAGATATAAATATGGAATTTAAGATTACATTTAGGGTTGCAATGGCTTTATAGAGATGTGGATTGATTTGGATTTGGATTTTTAAAAGGTGTTTTTAGGATAAGATTTAGAATTTAACATTGAAATATAGTAAGAATATATTTTTTGGAATAATAGATCTTCCCCCTTTTCTCTTCCTTTTTCTTGGTTTCTTTTTGTTTCTTTCTATTATTTTTTCTATTTTTCCTATGCTTTTTATTATTAGATATGATAGCTAATTTTTGGAGCTATAATGATAAAAAGATTGTAATGATGGAAGAGATCAAATTAATAAATGAAGAATTATTGAATAAGAAATAGAATATAGTTGAGAAATGTAAGAATGTAATTATGGAAATAATATGCTTAAATAAGAGAAATTATGGACACCCAAATTGTAAAGAATATTTTTGTTTAAGGCTAAGTTAGATATGGTATTTGGAAATTAATAAACCTAAAAACAGGGTTTGATTTATATCGATGAAAGGTTGCTGATAATTTCTATTGATTAATTGAATTATTATTTAGGGATGTATTAATGAATTAATTTTACTTAGAAATGTATTAGTTTGACTATATTATTCTAATTGTCAGAGAGGGAAATTTTAAGGAGCATTATTTGAGCTATATATGTATGATTTTATTGTACCTAACTGATTACCCTATCTCCACGTTCTTTCTTAAGTGTTCTGGTGTAAACATGGAAAAATCAATAAAATTGTTTGGAAAAAAAAAGGAGCAATCCCCCCAGAAACAGTTTCACATAGGAGAGAAAGTTTATCTCTCAATCAAATACCTTAAAATAAAACTACCATGTAAAAAGCTAGGACCTAAATTTATTGGTCCTTTCCCTATCGTAAAAATCACAAACCCTGTCACAGTGGAGTTAAAGCTCCCACGATTCTTAGGGAAAATACATTCAGTTTTTCATTGCAGTTTGCTGAAACCAGTTATAGAATCAACATTGAGACCAGTACCTCAAACCGCCCCAGGTCCCATTGTGTATCTATGCTTGTTATTTTTCAGGAACTGCTTTCTCTTTAGGAGAGTCCGATTGGCAACTTCTGAAATGAACCTGGCTGCAGCTATCTTTTTCATTCTAAGTTGCCACAGGTTGAAGGGAAGGGGGGATGGAAAAATGACAGCATTGCTAGATTAAACATAGAGCAGTCCTGTGGGAACCAAGGTCATTCCCACAGGAGCTGGAAGGTGGAGAGAAGAAGTTTCTTCTAATTGCTTTTATTGGGTAGCATGATCAACAGCATAGCAGAGGGGAGGGAATTGTTACATTTAGTTACATTGAATCTCTAAGGGAAATTTTAGAGTGAGTTTCATTTTTGACCATGCCAATATTATGTATCCAATAAACATGTTCTTTGAGGAAATTTCAAGTCTCAGTGTTCAGATTTGTTTGGGTTCATTAGTTGGAACCTTGACATTTTTGGGAAAATTGAGCAAGAAAACAATTTATGGTTCACAAAATAGATTTTGTAATTATATTGCATAATTTTAAAGAATACAAAGGAATAAAAAATAAAGATACAAATGACAAAATGAAAAATATAACATACATAAACACATTTTCTCCCCTTCTGTTCTTTTTCCTCAACCACTAACCATTAATATTTATGGTATAGCTTTAATACTTAATATTAAACATTGGAAATTTTTGTTATTTCCAGAACTATTCAAAGTGCTAAAGACCTACATATTTTTTGTAATATATTTTATTAATTTGTTAAACATAAATCACTATAATTGGCTAACAGTGTGTTGTCTGGGTTTACATAAAACAATCACTAACAATTGATTTCTATAATCCATAATCCACATAATGGTTTTAGTTGATTTCCTTTTTTCCCCAAAATGTCCTCTTTTGCAAACACTGAGTTAATACAATTCTTATTGTTTTGACAGATAACAATTAAATATATAATTTTTCCCAATATTCCTAAAAATAATAATCACACCAGTATAACATTTCTTTTTTATCCAATCATTCTGGTTGCCTTATCATAGATCCTGTTATGGTCCTTATTTAAATTTGTTTCTTCCACAAAATTCAAAATATTCTTACTGGTTAAGATTTTCTCAAAAATTAATTACATTTAAAAATTTAAGTCTATTTTTTCCATATGAACCATCTCAGCACTTTTACATTTCTTAAGGAATAGATAAAACAGTAAAAAAAGAAAGGAGAGCAAGAGTAAAGAAACAAAAAATAGCATACTTAGAATATATATCCCTCCTAAGCAAATATATATTTGTTTCCAAGATTTCTTATTCTTTTTAACCATAATTAAAAATGTTTAATCTTTAAATATTCCATTTAATACATCTAGTCATCTAGTCCTTTAACTCTTATTCAAAACATTTTTATCGATTATAATTTTCTTAAATTCAATCTTATTTAAATATCTAAACATTTCCTTTATCTAAGCCATTTCAACTTTTTTATATTACTCATATCAAGAAATAGGATAAAAAAAGGGGGGGAGTATACTATATTATTTAAGGGATTCATCCCTCTTAGAATAACATATATATTCCAAATCTATTTCTTTAACCATATTCAAACAAATGTTTCTTTTTTAAGTATTCTCTCTGGTAGGTCCCATCATCTATTTTCTTGATTTCCACTTTAGTCTTTTTCCTTTGCCCAGTATCTTTCTTGATCCATGTATTTTGCTGAGTTGAAAAGTGTTTCCATATGTTCACAAATGTTACTGTAGATCAGTGTTTCTCAACCTTGACAATTTTAAGGCATGTGGACTTCAACTCCCAGAATTCCACAGCCAGCATTGCTGGCTGTGGAATTCTGGGAGTTGAAGTCCACATGCCTTAAAATTGTCAAGGTTGAGAAACACTGCTGTAGATATAAAAAGTAAATCAGGTGAAGTGCTTCTGCCCTTCTCTGTTTGTTGAAAATCTTTTTCTTTCTCTCCGCTTCCCTTATCATTTCATTTCTCTCCGATGTTCCTGACATCTCTACAGTCCATTTTATCCAATCTGTTTTCTTGTCTTCAGATTTATTTTAGTCTTAAGGGATAAGTTGTTTTTTCCAATTCTTGTGATTTTTTCCCCACTAGGATTAAATCATATTTCCTTGTTTTGTTAAGTTCCATCTTTAAGTCTCTATTCTCAATTTTGTATCCACTTATCTATTTTACCTGCTCCTTCTCTGTTGTTGTTTTCTGGGAATTTTTTTTTTTGTACAGTTAACTTGGAAATAGATTGATTTATATTTTCAAAGTTATTTTGGATTTCTTTGTGGTTTAAAATCATTGTTGTTTGAATTAGTTGCAGTATACTATATATCTCCTCCTGTGAAGTATTTATGTTTTCTTGATATGTTCTTTCTACATGTCTCTGATCCGTGACGACCAAGAATTTGAGTTTTTCTCTTCTTTTCTTTTCTCTGCAAATAGCTTTAGAGTCCCGGTTAAATAGATATTTGTAATCCAAAGAGTTCAAAAAAGATTTTTTTTCCTGAAATTTATAATTCTCTCTTTTCTACAGCCCAGATTATTGTCTTTTTTGTCAAAGCTGTTCTTTGTTGTTAAAGCTTGGAAGGTCACAAACACAGATTAGCTTTTCCCAGGTTTTGCCAAGTCTTATATGAAAGTCATAACTGTCATAATCTTCATCCACCACTAGGTGTCAGCATCTGTTTGTTTTTCAATTTCCAAAATGAACAATTGTTTTTAGAATGAGAGTCTTAACCATTCAACAATTTTAGATTTATCCAGATTTAAGTTTTAAATTATATTTATTTCACTTCCATATATTTTGATCCTCCATAAAAAGATCAATTCGCTGGTTCCGTTAGTATAAGGGTGGAGCGGAAATCCCCCTCCTTCCCTTTTGGAGGTATTTTGCTTCTTGGAGATCTTTTCCAAGAAATTAAATATTGAATAGAAAAGAGAAGGGGCATTGTCTTACCTGAACACCTTTTCTCAGCATGATGATGTAGCATCCACCAGTGGGTAATCTCAGCCTTCCTGCTCAGTTGAGACTAAGTCAGAACTTTAGCCACACCTCCCCTGGGTGGTGCCTTCCCAGTTTTTGATGAGGCGAAGCATCCATGACAAAGTTTGGCGCAATGGCTCCTCTTACAACTACACCTGCCTAGACTGTCGCTAAGGGTGGGTGTGGATGCTACATCATCATGCTGAGAAAAGGCATTCAGGTAAGACAATGCCCCTTCTCCAGCATGATGAATGTAGCATCTACCGGTGGGACATACCAAAGCACCCATGTCCCCAAGGGAGGGAAGTCTAGGCATGTGTCCCCTGTGAGGAAACAGCCTGCTGCAAAAAACTTCTACCAAATGAAGCATACGCCGCAGCGAACTTATCAAGTTTGTAATGCCTGATAAAGGAAGAGGGAGAAGACCAGGCCACAGCCATACAGATCTCTTCAACTGAAGCCTGAGTAGACTAAGCCGCTGATGTGGCCTCGCTACATGTGGAATGAGCGGTAATGTGTGCAGGTACCGGGAGAGACTGTGATCTATAAGTGTGAGCAATGCATGCTCTGATCCATCTTCCAATCATTGAAGATGACATCTTTCCCATGGAAGAGGGCTGGGGGGACACGAACAGGGCCTCCAACTTGTGAAAAGCAGCGGTCCTCTTAACATAATGGTGCAGAGCCCTGCGCACGTCCAGTTTGTGCCACAGCCTCTCCAGATGATGTGACGGGTTGAGACAAAAGTCTGGAAGAACCAAATCTTGGGACCTATGGAACTAGGTATTGACTTTCGGAATGAAAGAAGGGTCCAATCTAAGGACCACTCTGTCATCCAGAAACATACACAGGTCGCTTCTGACCGAAAGCGCGGCCAGTTCCGAAATATGTCTTGCCGATGTGATGGCCACCAGAAATGCAACCTTCAGAGAAAGGAAGTGAAGTGAGCAAGACCGGATGGATTCAAACGGGGACGTCATGAGGGCCTGCAACACCTTAGGCAAGTCCCAGGAGGGATAGCGAAGCACCGTAGGAGGCTTAGCGTTAACTGCCCCTTTTAGAAAGGCACCAACTGCAGGGTGCTGTGATAATGGAACTAAGTTGTTGCATGTGAGGACTGTTGATAAGGCCGCAACCTGTCTGCAGAGGGTACTAAGTGATAGACCCTTATTCAGGCCCTCCAAGAGGTAGTCTAATATGTCAGGAATGGTGACCGCCAATGGTCTAAGTTTCTGTTTGGAACACCACATGCAGAAGTTTCTCCACCTGGCATTGTAAATCCTATTGGTTGAGGGTCGCCTTGAGGCCTGGATTATTGAGATCACCCCAGACGAATAGGATTGCCTAACTAAACTCTCCCGTTCAAGTGCCAAGCGGCTAGTTGAAGCCATTGGGGGTCTGGGTGTTGAAGTCTCCCCTGACTGACAGAGATGCGACCCGGCAGAATCCTCCATGGTGGGAAGAGCGACAAATCCACAAGGTCGGCAAACCATGGTCACCTTGGCCAGTGTGGGACAACTAAGATTACTTCTGCCTGTTCTTGGAGAATCTTGCGGATGGTCGCTGGTATCGGGGGAGAGGAGGCAATGCATAAAGTTGCCCCCTGGGCCACTTGCTGCAGAGGGCATCTGTTCCCTCCTTTCCCGATGAGGGGAACCTTGTGAAGTACCTGGATAGTTGGGAATTCGTCGGGGAGGCAAACAGATCCACTTGTGGTTGTCTGAATCTGTCTGAGATTTCCCTAAACAGGGGCGGGTCCAGTCACCACTCCGAGTGGTTGACCGTGATCCTGCTCAGGGAATCGGCCTGACGATTCGCTTCCCCAGACATGTGCTCTGCACTGATAGATTCCAGGTTGGACTCTGCCCACAGACCCAAGTCCAAGGCCTCCAGCATGAGAGACCACGCCTGGATCCCTCCTTGTCTGTTGACATGGGCCTTGGCTGCTACGTTGTCCGTCAGTATTAGAACATACTGTCCCGCCACAAAGGCGAAGAATTGATGGAGTGCCAGATGGATTGCTTTGAGTTCTAGCCAATTTATGTTGTGTGATAAATCTGACTGGGACCATTGACCCTGTGCCACGTGAGTCTGTAGGTGGGCACCCCAGCCGAACGGGCAGGCATCTGTAGTCAAGGTTAGCCTGGAAGGCTCCTTGAATAGGGATCCCCTGTTCATTGCTGATGACGTCCACCACAGAAGGGACAACAGTGTGTGATGACCTTCCTTGTGGAAGCACTCACATTCCGTTTTTGGAAGGGAAGGAGGAACCACTGGAGTGCTCTGGAATGTAGTCTGGCCCATGGAATGATTCCCAGACAGGAGACCATCTTCCCCAACAGCTGAGACAGCTGGACCAGTGGAACCACCTTATCTCTCCAGATCTTGTGGACAAGTGACCTGATACTGTCTTTGCGTTCCTGGGAGAGGTAAACCTTGCAAAGATTGGAGTCTATTATTGCTTCTAGGTGAAGGAGGTGAGTTGAAGGGGTTGTGTGACTCTTGAAATTCACGGAAAATCTGTGCTCCTGAAGAGTATTGATTGTGAGTTGAAGGTCTGATTGGGCAGAACGGAAAGAACTGGATTGGATAATGATATCATCCAGGTAACATTGTACACGCACTGGAATTAATCTGAGATGGGCTGCCAAAACTGCCAATATCTTTGTGAATACCAGAGGGGTCAAGGAAAGCCCAAAGGGTAGAGCCCTGTACTGATAATGCTGGCGCGCGTAACAAAACTGGAGGAATCTGCGGTGTTGTGGGAGGATAGGGACGTGGAGGTACACCTCTGTCAGGTCTATAGAGGAGAGGAAATCCCCTTTTCTGATACTGGCCAGAATGGATTTGAGGGACTGCATCTTGAACCTCCTGTAGGTTAGGAAGTAATTGAGTCCCTTTAAATCCAATATGGCCCTCCAATCTCCCAAGGCTTTGGGAACCACGACAGAATGGAATAAAATCCCCTTCCTCTCTGTTCCAGAGGTACTGGTTCTATGGCCTTTATCTCTAACAGATGGGATATGGCTGTGGATACTAACTCGGCCTTGCTTGTTTCTTGAAGTGGGACACTGACTAAATCGATCTGGAAGGGTGGTTATAACTTCCAGTGCGAGACTGTATCTTATAGTCTCCCTTACCCAAGAGTTGTTGGTGGTAACCTCCCAAATGTCACTGAACTGCGCTAAGCGACTATCTATAGGAGGGTCCACCTTGGCGTCACTTGGAATGCCTGTAAGGGCGACTCCTGGACCCTCGAAAGGGACACTGAATAAACAGACTGAATTCCCCCTCAAAAAGGAGAAAATCTTTACACGAATACAAAAATTAAAAATGGATATAATTTGTCTCCAAGAAACACATATTAAGAGGCAACATTATAAGTTGTTAGAACAACCAAAAATCGGTAAACTTCACGTTGCATTAGCACTTCAAAAGAAAAGAGGAATAGCTTTATACATTAAAGAAAAATGAACCCTAAACAAATTTATGAGTATGAAGAGGGGAGAATATTAATGGTGGAAATAATGATAGAACAAAAACAGACTCTGATGGTAGCAATATATGCACCAAACAATAAACAAGAACAATTTTACCAAAAATTACATTTAAAAAAATTAGATTTAAACTATCAAAATCTGTATATAATGGGAGGCTTTAATGCAATAACAGATGGAACTTTGAACTATAAAAGTCCTAAACAAGGGAGGAAAGGAGGAAATATATTACCTAAAACATTTTTAAAAATGGCAGAAAAACTTTATATCCAAGATATATGGAGAGAGAAAAATCCAAAGAAATTACAATATACATTTTACTCAAATAGACATAGATCATGGTCTAGAATTGATATGATATGGACATCTTTGGAACTTAATATGATAATACAAGAAATTGTATCAAAACTAATTTTTGGGCAGACCATAACCCAATAAAGATGACTTGGAGAGCAACTAAGAAAAAATTAAGATGGTCCTTGAATAAATCTATACTGAAAGAAAAAGAATTTATATAAGTAGCGACAATGGAAATGGATTTTTTCTTCAAAATAAACAAGAAAGAAGAAACATCACTTCAAAATGTGTGGGATACGGCTAAAGCATATTTCAGAGGGTTGGCTATAACCTATACCGCTAAAAAGAATAAAGAAAAGAAACAGTTAAAGTTGAAGGAAGAATTCAGAAAGTTAGAATCAGAATTACAAATAGACCCACAAAAGAAAATACTTAAGAAACAAACGGAGATAATAAAACATAAATTAAATCTACCCGAGACGGAAATGATGGGTCAACAGATTAAAAGGGCTAAACAGAACTTCTTTGAAAATGCCAACAAGCCAGGGAGATGGTTAGCATATAGACTGAAAAAAGAAAAAGAGAAAAAACTGATAAACAAGCTGCAAGATCCGAAAAGTGAATTACAGTTTCAAAATGATACAATTAAAAAAAAAATCAAAGATTATTATGAGATACTTTACAAAACAGAGGAAATTCCAAAAGAAAAAATACAGCAGTATTTAAAAAAAGCAGATTTACCAAAAATTTCAAAGAATATTTGAAATATACTAAATGGAAAAATATCAATGATGGAGACTATAGAGGCTATAAAAAGGCAAAAAAAATGATAAGACTCCAGGTCCAGATGGATTACCTGCAGAGCTTTATAAATCATTGCAAGATGTATTAAACTGGCAATTCATGTTCCAGCAACTAGCGAAAATGGATTTTGGAGAAAACTTTATAAATGTTAACTAAAACAATTTATTGTAAACAAACAGCCAAAATAATTGTAAATGGAAATTTTACAGAAAACTTTAACATTAAAAAAGGCACAAGACAGGGATGCTCACTATCCCCATTATTATTTATATTAACACTGGAAGTATTGAATAGAAACATCAGACAACATATAGAAATTAAAGGACTGGAGATAAAAGATGAAAAATATAAACTACAAGCATTTGCAGATGACTTGGTTTTTATACTGGAAGATCCATTGGAAACAAGCACTAAACTTATGGAGAAAATAGAAGAATTTGGAGAAGTGACAGGGCTGAAAATAAACAGAGAAAAGACTAAAGTGCTAACAAAGAATCTAACAGAAAAATAAAAAAATCATCTAACAAAAGAAAAACCCCAAATCTTCAAATAGTTAAAAAAGTCAAATATTTGGGAATTTATCTAACAGCAAGACGTGTAACAATAAAAGAAGATAACTATATAAGAATGCTAAAACAAATAAAATTGAATCTGGAAAAGTGGAAAAACTTACAACTTTAAACGCTGGGGAGAATAGCAACAGTGAAAATGAGTATATTACCAAAAATACTCTTTTTATTTCAAACAATTCCTGTAAAGCTGGGTAAAGCCTTTTTTGATGAACTGAATACAACAATACCGAAATTTATCTGGCAAGGAAAAAAAGCTAGAATTAGACTGAAAATACTCGAAGAAGCAAAAGAAAGTGGAGGATTTGGACTGCCGGACTGGACGTTCTATTACCAAGCAACTATTTTAACATGGCTTAAAGAATGTATAATGCTTAGAGACAAAAGACTATTATACCTAGAGGGGCATGACCTACAAATTGGTTGGCATGCCTTTCTGTGGTATGGGAAGAATAAAACACATAGATATTGTCAAAACCACTTTATAAGAAATGCACTTTTTTCAGAATGGGAAAAAATTATATTAAGATACCTGGATGGCGTTCAACAATGAAAGCTTTCGCTTATCCAAATTTAATTAACTATGACAAAGTTGTGACTTATAAAGATATTTTGAACAATGAAGGAAAATTGAAAGACAGACAAGATTTACAAGAACAAGGTATTGATCTATCATGGTGGCCATATCTACAAATTCAAACGATATATGAAAAAGATGTTAAAACAATGGGATTCTATAAGGAACAGACAGAATTTAATCAGATACTGTTAAAAGCAGATGAAAAGTTGATTAAGAAACTCTACTGTTAAACT